TCCCTAAGTTTAAAAAAGAGCTAGGAAAACAGTTGCTCTCCAAAAGGATCTCTGTATTATATATATATTACACACGGATCCTAGGCTTATCCTGGGATGAAGTAGGTCCTAAATACCTGCATTTAAATGTACATTAGGACAAAGGTAGCATCCCCTTCAGATTCAAGGACTTCATGAATGATGCACAATGCAGCAACAGAACAGTAATTCCACATCTGCTCCAGGTCTAATCAGAGTCTAATTCACCCAGAGGGCTGGTGTACAGGTAGGAAGTGCTGATCTGTGATCTATGAATGTACCTTTCAGTTTCTGCTGAGAATCTGACCTAATTTTTCCCAGTGAAAGAGGCACCTTAAATCTCTCCCAGTAAAATATTCTGCAGAATCCCTCATCCTTTTTTGCAGAAAAAGTACACAGTCTTGGAAATTCTAATGGAATGAGGACAGGGTAATAATGGAGCTTTAAGGCTGAAGTTGTTGAGCTGTAAACTTGTGCAGCTGCATCAGGCCCAACCTTTCTCATTGCATTCTACAATATGCCCTGTAATTTAGAACTTTCACCTCAGATTCCTTCAAGTAGATACACTGAGCGATATTATGAAGTGTCATCCTCTTGGTGTCATCATCTAGGTTGGGACTGAGGGACATCAGAAGTCGCCTGAGCTCTCCTGGAACAGTCACTTTTATAGATGAAATTTGGTAAGATTCTGAAGACAGCCCTAGAAGCAATAATTCAAAAATGAAATTCCAACTCCATGGAGCTCGAAGATGGTTTAGAATCCCTTTACAGACATTCATGCACCAGAACATCCTGCATACTTCTGAAGCAATCAAAAGAAACATATTAGTCCAGTGGAAGACAATATAGGACCTGTGAACATTTCCCCAAAGACACCTTCCTTGACACCTGCCCAGATTCTCTGCTCTACCCAATTTTTTAAATTTTTAAAAATTTGTTTTCATTTTTTAAAAATTGGCCACTGGAATGCTACCAGCTGACTGCCAGACTCTAGCATCATATTTACTCTCAGGAAGGCCTCCGAGCCTCACAAGAATCTAGTACTTTTGGGGGGGGGGAAATGTTCATCCAGATTGAGGCAGGACCAAACAAACAAACAAATAAATATGTAAAAATGGCAGGTCATAACAGTGCTTTGTTTAGAAGTAGGCCCATCTGCCCCCCAAAAAGTCAAAGTTAAGTGAATTTCTGCATGGCACAGTTTTGGACTGAATAGTCTCTTGCAACTATATGATTCTGTGAAGTGGTATGACATAGAATATTTTGGCACAGCTTGATTGGAAGGAGCAATTTCCTCAATTAGCCTTCTGATAAATGCATATTTTGTGATTGGCTACATTAATTATGGCAGAAGTTCTGTGAGAACCCCCATATGCTTTCAGTATATCCAAATATATTGACAGCCCTCCCACCAGTTGTCTTCCCCCAGTTTTAATCTCTATTTGGGCATAAATAAGGGGGGGGGCGGGTGTCAATATACAAGTACTTCCAGTAAGTCTCAGCATATTACTGAAATAACATCACTTTCTTGTAGACATTCAGTACAAACAACTGCAGGAAATTCCTGTATGACTGAGCACTCTCAGTTTAAGGTTTTTGTCTTTCCTAAAATATGGTAATGCCATGAGATTCTTTGTGTTGATATACTTGCCATTTGCATATCATTTTTAGATAACATTTCATGCATCTGGTGAAATGAACTCCAATGCAAAAAAATCCAGATGCTGTAAGAAATTTGTTCATCTTTAATGTGCCACAACTCTCCCTCTGAAATTTACCTGAAGCTGATATTGCTGATATTCCTAAGGAAGCTAAAATCAATGTATCAATGTTAGGATCCTCCCTCCCTTTTTTTCAAATTTAAGGATTAAAAAAACTCCAAGATTGTTATGAATTTATGCAAAACTATGGTGCTGCTACACTGGTGTACTACCAATCTTTGTATTTCCAAAGGAATATTATAGAGATGAAGAAGGTAAGAAAAGGGTATCTAAAATGATAAAACTTTCTGAGAAAATGTTACAAGTTTTTCAAGCTTTTTACTTACACAATCAGCAAATAAATGAATTAGTTCACAGCAGATGTGTATAAAATTATACATGGAGAAAATAAGAAGAATGACATTTTCATAGTATTAGAACCTGAGATAATCAAGTGAAGGTGAATGATGGTTTGAGATGCGACATTTCAATGCAGCCCAACATTGAATTATGGAATTCATTCCTATACAATGTAATAATAACACCAACTAGGATGGTTTTAAAAGAGAATTAGACAACAACAAAGACAAGTTTATGGAGGAAAAACCTACTAATGGCAGTAAATCTCTCAGTGTGAATTGCTGGAAAACACCAGCAGGAGGTATGCTGTTGGCTTATGTCCTCCTTGGGGACTTCCCAGAGTTATCTGATCAGGGGTGATGACAGCATATAAGGCACCCTTGTCCAGAATTCCACTTTGATCCCCCAAAAACATTTTTTAAATATTCACAATTTATTAAATATAATTATAATTATGCAAGGGCCTGCTGAGTCAGTTTCCATCACCAGTTTTGCCAGCTGAGTGCACATGCACAAAGTCAGCGAGCCTGTGTTGTTGATATTGAATCTCAATCTCAATCTCGCTCTCTCGCTCTCTCTTGCAGCTGTGCCCCCTTCTCATACAGTGTCCTTGTGTGGTACACACTGGATTGTTCTCGGGAGAAAATGCTTGACTAGACAGGCCATTAGTCTTACACTTCAGTAGGTGGCACCTTCTATCCAATCTTGGCTGATCTTGGAAATCAAGCAAAGTCAGTCCTGGCTAGTACTTGGATTGAAGGCCATCTTGGACCTTCAGGGCAGTTGGTTAAAGGGAGAAGTTGAAAAACATTGTGGAAGAAGATAATGGCAATGTTTGTGTCACTGCAAAGAAAATTGCATGGATGCCATATTCAGCAGCCCAGCTGGACTCAAGGAGTCTTTACAGAGCAGATACAATTATCTTGCTAACAGGGATAAACTAACATAGCATTTGTTTTAAAATGTGGCTGCAATAAAATGGACAGAATTCTCTGATAGCAAACAATTGATTTAAACTTTTTGACATTCCTACTCAGCCCAACATGTCTTGCACCCCCATTTCTCCACCTCACTTTGGCCCTATAGCTTGCCACATTCTAATCAGTTCTTTCCCCCAGTGACCCTTGGCCAAATAAGATGTAGTAAGCAAGCAGCCTCTTCTGCATTTTCCAGTTCTCTTTTTCTTTCCCCTTATTTTATTTTAGTTTAACAATCGAGATGACTCATAAGTGGTAAAGCAAACATAATGGCCATAGTGTTCCAGGAAGAATTGGAAGAGATAAGTGGGAAGGGAAAAGTCATCAAGTTCAGAAGCACAAAGCCTGAAAGCAGAGTAGTCTGTTACAAATAATAATGGACATTGGAGAGGTGACCCAGAAACAGAGAAATCATGGGAAGTGGCTGAGGACATCCACTGCAGATGGAAACATCAACCTTTTAAGATGTTTCCCATTTGCTGTACCTGCATAAGCCCAAACTGCTGCACTGGCCTTATAATCTGGCACCAGCACCTAACAATTCTTCAGACCTGGAGGATGATAACTGGTTTGGGAATCAGGGGGAGGTGGTTAGATTGCTACTGAGAGACTGAGACCCCTCCCTCCCACCTGAAGCTGGGGGGAGACTTCTGGACTGGGGAGTTGAGAAAGATATAGCAGAGATGGAAGTTCTCCCTTACTTGTGGCCTGTTGTCACAAAGAAACAGACACTCCTACTCTCAGATCCCCCCTGCCTGAAGCTGAGTGGGAGACTTTTGGACTGGGGAAAGTTGCTGAACAGAGCAAACTCTTTCCCTACCTGCTTCCTGTTGTCAGGAAGACAAAAATTCCCCCTCTTCTCCAGGGAATCGGGGAGGGAAGAGACTTTGTCAGCCCCAGCCAAAATACAGGTGAAGGCGGGGGTGGGGACACATAGTCCCTTCCAATTCCCCATGCCTAGGGGAAGGAGGGGAGACACTCCTGGCTCCTTAGGGTTCAAGGGAAATGGAAGATTCTGGGGAAGGAGAAAATAGAGAGGCAATGTGAAGGCAAGAGCTGACAAGGTGAACAATCAAAGACGTGGAGATCAAATTGGTCCATTAAAATAGCAAAGGGGCCAAGTACTTGTCCCTATGAGAAAAGATTGGCTCTCAGTCCATTATGAAATAAAGGTAGGAGAATGATTTAAATATACAAGGCTTGAATCATAGAGTTTCCACTAGGGCTTCTCTAGTATCTGCAATAAAAGTATCACAGCTGTGTCCATGAATCTCTGGCTGTGAGGCTTCTCATTTGGATATCAGTCTCCATGAAGCTTGGCAGGAAGGAAGAGAAAAAGAAGAACAACAACATACATTGTGAGCATGTTCAGCCCCTATTTCATTTAACTCACTGGCTAAGTTCATTGATTCAGAGTTGTAGGGGGGACTTCTGAGAATTGCTAGGAGAGTCTTCGACATCAAATAGATAGCTGAAGCTCCGTAAGCTGCAGTTAACACGTTTTTACTAGTTATCAGCTCATTGTACTTCATATTGCTTTGAACTTCCAGGAAATCTGATGGAGCCCTGACCTGACTAGAGGCCAACCCACCCTTCACCTGTGGTAATACTAGACTTCACATGGTTTGTGATGTCACCTGGGCCCTTCATGACAACTCTGGCACATCATCATCGGAAGGGTAAGGCCTTTGAATCTTCTCTCCTCCTTCTCCCACTTGCTGATATCATGAAAATACTGTGAAATCTTGAGAGATGACTTCTTGGCATCCCATCTGGAGTGAAAAGATGCCGAGAAGAATCATTGGTCAGTAGGAGAAGGCAGGCTTTGCATGTGGCAGGTTCCCTAGCTCAATCTCCAGCATTTTTCTGTCTATAGAGGGAGTAGGGAGCAGACAAGATAAAAGATCCTCTCTGCATGTTACTTTGGAAAACCACTGGCAACCAGAGAAGATCAGCTCTCTCCAATCTGATGTGCTACAATTTCTAGAAGATTCAGCTAGAAAACAAAACACCCCCACCCCCACCCCCCACACACCATTTTCTTTGGGGATATGGAATAACCTCTTTCTGGAAAGACTTTGGTGAAGAAGCTTTTTAAAAACGTTTCAATTGTAAATGTTTTGAATCCATATTTTAGCTTCGTTTCATACTTGCAGTGGATTTCTCTCTCCTGCTCAATTGTTTGTGTTATAAATGTTTAGCTAAAGTGTTGATATTACTCTGGAGGAAATTATTATTCCTTTTAACTGTTTTGCTGTTTATAAGCCAGATGATGTTGTTTTTGTAGAAGCATATATGCTATCAGTAAATAAATAATAAATTGCCCATTCTGCTGGATTTTGTATATGGGATATGTATGTATCTCAAGGGTAGGGTGGGGAAAATCTTCCTCATTCTCTCAGGCAGCAAAATATTTTGACTACCCTAGGAACTTTTCTGTGTTTCTATTACAAAGGACAAAATATAGTGACTAGATAGGACCACATTTACTTTTTCATAACTGACCTTAATATTGCATTTAAACATATGTACACACAAATTTGTTTACTCAGAAGTAAGTCCCACTATGACACATTGCCTAGTAAGTGTGGGTATGATGGCATCCTATATTACAGTAATTTGTTCATTTTCAGGCAGGGATCTATTTGCTGTGTTTTTAGATCTTCAAAGAACATTTGGCAGACTCCTGAAGAGGGCAGCAAAACTCTTGAGTTCTGTAGGCTGTATTCCAATGAATCAGAAAGAAAAGGCTGCAGATGAAGGAAGCCGGTTCTTTGGAACTTGGCTTTCGCACCCTTTCTTTTTTTTCAGCATCACATCCAGCTTTCATGATCTCAGCTGGAGGTCACGACATAAGATGACAGCTCTGTCTTTCTAGTCCAAGAGTTCCAAAAAGGAAGGTACAGACCACTCAGAAGATTGCAATAGTTACTCACACTGGCTGGCTGGAATTACAATCTGGTCCAGAGTTTCTCAACCTTGGCAACTTTAAGACATGTGGACTTCAACTCCCAGAATTCCCCAGCCAGAATTCTGGGAGTTGAAGTCCACATGTCTTAGAGTTGTCAAGGTTGAGAAACACTTGATCTAGCCCATTTGGAGGGTACCAAAAAGCACTTCCAGATGATCATGTTTTCTGTTTCTCTATTCTTCTGAATGCAGTTCAAAACACACCTGAGACTGATCCAGGCTGTCCTGACAATTTTCACAACTATTTGGACAACAGGATGCTATAACCACAGGCTTGTTTCCATGTTTGAAAGTCTATAGAGGTCTTTCAAACCACCAGCCAATCAAAGCTTGCTCTTTCTTGCCAATACTTGAGAACAGACCACTGTCAGCTAGTCGGTACTCATTGCTGGCCAATTATTAAGTGCCTCATCATGTCCCCTCAGGTCTCTGTTCAATACACATCCTTCCTTCATCCACAGAAATAAAGGAGAATAAATTTACCTAATCATGCAGTGAAAAGATCCACAGGGAATAGAATATAAGATGTGTCAAGAATCCCTTGAATAATAATCACAGACTGTCCCTTTAAGCACAAGGCAGTGGCATTTGCTGTTTCTGAAACCTTTTCCCACCCATAGCTATGCCACTGACCAAGGCTATTACAAAACTGTTCATCATTGCAAGCCCCAACGACAGTATCGTGTGATTAGCAGAGGCCTTATCTTGTATGGTGCTTCAGTCTGGCAGACCTCCTAGAGTTGTGGATCGACACAGAAGTTAAAAATATGGCAGATAGGAGGATCAACTGTGATGTACAGTCCTATTCCTGAAATGACCTCCTTGTTCATGTGGTCATCCTTTGCACACTGGAGTAGATTGCAGTGAAGATTTGATGCAATTCACATATGTGAGGGATCTGAACAGCAATCCTGGGGGGACCCCAATATCTACAAAAAATACACAACAGTTTGGGAAGAATGCACTAAGGCAGGAATCTTAAGGAATTTCTACTGAGAAATGATGTGTTCGGTTCCAAGGAATATGACTGCTGGAGAAAGAGAAGGGGAAAAATAGGAGACAGGGTGAGATCAGCATCTCATCCACACCGTTCCAGGTTCAAGTTCACTTTCAACCATGGAAACTCCCTAGATGATGTTGGGCCAGTCACTCCCAGTTCAGCCCACCTTACAAGGTTGTTATGGGGAAAAATTGGAGAAGGAAATGCTATGTATACCACCTTGAGCCCCTGGAGGAAAGGAGGGATGTAAATCTAACAAATAATACATACAACAATAAAATTCTCCTGCAGATGCCACTTGTGGATAGTGATTTCACTAGCAAGACACACACACATGTAGTTGTTCAGCTTCTAATGATTTACAAATGCTACTTGCTGACATCTTAAGATGCAGGCCCTGGGATCTCATCAGCAGCTTAAGAAAAACAGTTTAAGGCTTTTTGCAAGACAAGTTGTCAAATGTTTCTAGAGACCCCATTTGTATATGTGTCATTCCCATAACACACACTCACACATGGACACACATGTATATATAACATTGTAGAAATGTTGCAGTCCACACATGGGTCTCTCACTTTCTCCATAACTTAAAAGGAAAACAAATTTGCCCGTGGAGACAACTGCATCTGTGCATTGGTCCTGAGCTGGATGCAAATAGCTCTGCAAAGAGTTGTGCTGGAGCTAAGAATTGATGTGATTCAGGCCATGCAAAACAACTTTGTGACCTATGCAACTTGACCCTTCCTAACCCAGAACATCTTATTCAAGATAAAAATAACTCCTGCCCATAAAATTCTGCTTGCACATACTTTTAGCTCCCCAAATCACACATTAGCTACTATTCATTGTTCACTGTCCACTGTCACATGATCACTGCAAGCTCCTTCTTCTTGGGAACACCTCTATATAAATTTTCTTAAATGTTCTCAGTGACATCTTTTTGTCAAGGGTTGTTTATTTTGTGGCATTATCGGAGTCACTCTTTAATCGCTATCATTTCTTGGCGATGCTGTTGCTAAGGTTGTCGTTGCCCTGTGTTATGTTTATTCTTGACTTAATGAGTACATTTGGCAGAATGCACCCTCCCACCCTCTGCTTATGTTGTGAAAAATCCCCACTGGATTTCACAGGCCTCACACAGCTGGCTCTGTAACAGATATTCCACAACTGATAACAGCCAGAACCAGCATCCCTATGACATTATGGTAATGGCTACAGAGAGATAGATGATAAGCCATGGTTCAGTCATTGAAGCCTCTGGATATTGAGGAAGGGAAGGGGCACCTAAATGGGCGAGGCACTGGGAGGCCATGTTGGCGGCACTTAGAGCCCTCTGCTCAGTGGGCTGACTGGGGGCCCAGGACTTCTCCCTGAAGTCTGGTCCAGATGCAAACATCTAAGGATGACCTTACTATTTTTTGCTATATGATAATCGTGCATTATAGGGCTTTATCCAACATTTAACAGATGGCCAAAGGAAACCTCTCAGCAATCTCAACACCCTTTTTGTTTGAAGTTCTTCATTTTTACTTTCAGGACTGCTCAAACCTGCTGCTGGCAAGCACCATCTTAAAAGAGGCATTCTGCTTTCCTCCTCAGCTGAGGCAGGACTCTTCTTTTAAAGTGGTCTTTGCAGCAACTGTAAGGGCAGCCTCTGCAAACGGAAGGCACGTGCTTTTGTGTGCCTCTTTCAAGCAATTACTGTTCCAGCCACATGTCAATTCTGCCGATTTCATTGAGCCATTTGATTAACTGATTCTTTTTAAATGTGGGACGGGAGTTAGTCCTCTGACAAAGTTCTTTTCGATCCCCGTATTCTCTGTCTGTGCACACGGACTCAACTTTCTCAAGCCCACACAAATACACACACACCTCTTACACGCCTTCAGTACAGCTGCTCCCCCCACGGCAGCACCCGCCTGCCTGCTGCCTTCATCCCTCCACCCCCACTCTGCCCTTACAGGGCCGGTTTTTTTTCATACTCAAGGGTACAGGATGTTCTGTTCCTTCTCTCTCACACTCACACACGTACGCGCACACCCTCCCCCCCCCCCCCCCCCCCCCC